TTTTTTCTTTTCTTTTCTTTTCTTTTCTTTTCTTTTCTTTTCTTTTCTTTTCTTTTCTTTTCTTTTCTTTTCTTTTCTTTTCTTTTCTTTCTTTCTTCTTTCTTTCTTTCTTTCTTTCTTTCTTTCTTTCTTTCATTCGTGTAATCAGTATAGGGTCTCACTACACAAATTAGACTCATAGTGATCCTCCTGTTTTCAGCCTCCAAAGTGCTGGGATTACAGGTGTATCCCACCACACCCAGTCTCAATTGCTGTCTCAACACACCCTGGGGGCAAGGCCAGCACAGCACTCCGGGGATCAAACCCTGGTCTCTACATCTGCCTAATTAGATGCTTTACTCTAGGGAGTAAAGCATCTAATCTGGCCAGCCCAACTCCCTGACTTTTGACCCATCTTCAGCTGAAATTTAGTTTCTTCTTTTGTGAAATTTGCATAATCAAATTACATTTACCCAAACCATCACTGAAGGGTGGATATGAGAGGGTTTTATAAACATTATAGTCTGGCATTTAGGTAAATATGGTCTGTCTGGCAAACTGTAGTTAGATGTTATAGACCAAAACATGAGATACATGTAAAGCAGAATTGTATATTGGTTGAGATGTTAAGGGGCTAAGGAGATAGCTCAGTAGAATAAGCGCTTGCCTGGCAAGCGACAGGCCTGAGTTCACACCCCGATTCTGAAAAAAAAAAAAAAAAAGAGAGAGAGATATTAAAGTTATTTTGCCTGGTTTCAAACTCTAGTTTTTGTATTTACTGTGTGACTCAGTTTCCTAAGTGATAAAACATTGGCAGGAATAATTACTCTCCCATTAGGTTGGTGAGCTGAAATGAGAGGATCTTGTTAAAATGACAAACATTGTGCCTGGCACATAATAAATGCTCAGTATAATCATGCCAAATATTGACTGTATGTACCAACTCTTCCCTGGATTCAAGAGTCACTGTACACATATTATACAGGCAGACTGAAAGGTCTTAAAGCAGTTCATAGCTTTTGTAATTTCACAATTATAAATGATGTAAGCTCATAAAATATCACTTGATGGTTTAATTACTTAAATTTCACTTAGGTTTCTTTAGTTTTATAAATTTTTAAATAAATGTTTAATTTTTCTTTCTCTTCCTACTTGCCATCTTCAATCAGAATAAATTCTGCTTTCCAACATGTTTTTATACAATGAGTGATTGTAAGCAAATACAATCAGAGACAACACCCAGCATTGCAAATGTATGCTGCTAATTCCTTTCCCTCAAGTCCGGGATCAGTTACAGGGCTTCTCATTTCTGCCTCTGCAGAGGACTTGAAATTGCACAGTGAGCGCAAGACTCCAGGTGCTCTCCGGTCTTGCAGGCCTGTGCACAGCAGCTGGCCTAGGCAAACTCACTTGGAAAAATAAAAGGGTGAGATTTCCCAGAGGAGAAATTCTAAACCAACAACAACTCTTCAGCCAACCAAAGCCTCTACTACTCATACATAAAAATGTATAAATTAATTATAACTATTTAAATATGGGTTTGATCTTTGATTTAATCTATGAGCAGGTCCAATTACAGACATGCTAAAGTTGGCCTCCTAATTAGTCTTAAAGGTTCAATTATTTGATGTCCATACTGTGCTGAAGGTTTACTTCCTAAGGGAATCATACATAAAAGGATATTTCTTTTTTCTTCTTTTTTTTTTTCTTTTGGCAGAACCGGGGATTGAACATGAAAGGATATTTCAATGTGGTTGAACCTTTAGTAACACCAAGTAGCATTTGAGAAGTCAGATAAGAATGAAAATCAAAGCTCTCAAGAATGCTTCCTGGGCCAGGGAGATAGCTCAGTGGTCTAAGAGCCTGCCTGGCAAGTGCAAGGACCCGGGTTCGATCCCCAGTACCACATGCCTTGCCAGCTCCAGAACCCCAGGTGCACTGTGCCAGCCACTGAACCCGAGCATGGTGGCATAAGCCTGTAATCCCAGCAATGGGGAGGTTGACACAGGAGGATCACTATGCATCTGAGCTGCACAGTGAGACTGTGTACCAAATAAATAAATAAGATTTAAAAATAAATAAAAATGAATGTTTAAAAGAATGCTTCCTGGACATCATGTCCAAGATCAGGACTAGTGACACTTAGCTTAACAAAAGTTATATTTCTTTAAAATTGAAATGGTGTTCTTTTAAAAGGGAAAACCCTAAGTGTCTTAATCAGACCACAGTATGCAGGATGTACAATTTCAGCTCTTCTAATTTGCAAGATAACTAGGAATGAGTATTTCTACTTGTCAAATCAGAGACTGGCTCTCTGGGCAACTGGATAACAGTAACATTAAACCACCAAAAATTTTGGCTGATATCAGGAAATATCCACAACTGGCTCCCTGAATGAAAAAAAAAAAAAAAATTAAAGCCTCAATCTGTGACATTTTCTGGTTTCCATGGTGTAACTACTTTCTCTGTGACCAACTGCAAACTGCCAACGTGACATCAGCAAATATGGTGATGTCAAGTGACACAACACATACAAATTAATTTCAGACTAGAGATAATAGTAAAATGTACTTAAATGACTTAAAATGTTATGTTTGAGTATTTATTTATTACCTTTGTATGTTTGTTTTTAATATAATTTACTTCCTGGTAAGTTTCAATTTTAAATATCATGGCTAGATCTAACAACAGTCTTGAGAAATTCCTGAAAATGTGACAGTCGGTTTTTATAAGCCATAACAGCACAGCACTAACATGTGGCCTATGCGAAAACCTGTCACAAGTCACTCAAGCCGTTGCACCCAGCACAGCATGTAGACACAGCATGGGGGGAGAGATGCGCAGGATGGGAAGGCAATCCCCTGAGCTCATGCTGTCTGTGTATTGCCTCCCGGTAGTTGCCCCTCCAGAGGACTTGCGAGTGGCTGGTATCAGCGACAGGTCCATTGAGCTGGAATGGGACGGGCCGATGGCAGTGACGGAATATGTGATCTCTTACCAGCCGACGGCCCTGGGGGGCCTCCAGCTCCAGCAGCGGGTGCCTGGAGATTGGAGTGGTGTCACCATCAAGGAGCTGGAGCCAGGTCTCACCTACAACATCAGCGTCTACGCTGTCATTAGCAACATCCTCAGCCTTCCCATCACTGCCAAGGTGGCCACCCGTACGTACCATTCCCCCATCCCACTTCATTTTTCTTTTCTCCTACATGAGACCATGGGCATTCATGATAGGAATGTCTTTTCTCAGTTCTTTGGGGATGCCTTCAATGGTTTGATCTCAAGGCAAGAGGCTTCAAACATGACCCACTTAGGAAAGGTACATCATTAAAAAGTCAGTTGTGAGGAAGAGTTTCCACATACAGTCAGCTTCTATAAATTATAGAACAAAAGAACAAAAAGTTATTTAATTATTGGATGCTGCCTTGATATAAGTAAGGTTCTTATCTGAAGTCAAGGAACGCATGTGATTTATACAGACTGAATCTAGTGAGGGATTCAAAAGCAGGAGATATATAATAGGAAGCATAATAAGTGAGTGCTAAATGCTGTTCTACAGGTGGTAAGTATATGGCAAAGTGAGAAAAAAAGCTTTAAAACTACAGCCGATGGAACTTGGCATGGTGGTGCTGCCTAAAATCCCAGCACTTGGTTGAGCCAGGAGGATCTCTATGAGAATGGATCATCAAGGTAATTTCCTAACAAAAGACTATAAAGAAATTGTACCATCTCTGTATGTATTACCTTGATGATCCATTTTAGTTATAAAAGTTGAGGTTTTAGAACATAATTGAGAAAGACTGAGTGAAGAAGGGAAGAGAGAAGAAACAGGCATGTAGAACAAGCAAAACTCCTCTCCATAAAGGATCAAGTTTTCAAAAAAAATTTAAAAAAATTTTAAAAATCAGTAGTTTCCACCTATACCAGGGAAATGCTCCTGTAGGTGTGGCAATACCTATATATTTTACATATGTTCAATATAAGCTTAGAGAAGTACAAAAGATTATTCACCAATTATTAACATATAATAGAAGACAGGTTAATAGTATTACATATTTTTCTTTATATACCTCTGAATTCTTAAATTGTTACAGTAAGCCTGAGTTACTTTAGAATTTCAAAAACCAAGCTAAAAACTTTAGGCAAGAGACATTTCTAGCAGGTTGGGTACCAAGCTATACCTTGGCACTCCAAGCCTACCGAAAACTCTGTACTCTCACAAATGTGCATGTGCTGAGTGGGAGACGTCTCTTGGGAATATCAAGGAAAGGGATCTTGGTCTGCTTAAATTCTGGAATGAGAACATTCAAAGGCAATAAGGCCTAAATAATCAAGAAATCTTAGCAGTAACAAGAAACTGGAACAAGAAGCAGAACCATGAAAACATTAACCCTGACGACGAAATTCAGAAAGGCCCTGGGTACATAAATCACCAGGTAAGGGATAAAAGATTTGAGCTCATTTCGTGTTGGTCTCAAATGACAAGGTGGTATTTGGGTAACAAATGCCAAAAGTCCAGGAAATGAAAGGTCAAGGTACAAAGAATCAGCTGTGAAAGTTTCATGGCTGTCCAAGCACCTGAACTGAGCTTCAAAGAAGGCAAGGACAGGGATAATAGAAAGATAGAACTAAGGAGTCATCTTGTCCCCTTGTTTTTCAGGTGACAAAAGTCCTGTTATATTATTAAACTCCCCCTATGAATGATGGCTCTATTAATATGCCTGTAATTATCTCTGTTTATATTTGACCCTTTTAAAAATAATTCCTCTGGTGCTCATGAACTGCTTCTAAATATCTCAAGTGGTTGTGGGGAGGCAGGTCACCATCTGTTACCTTTCCCACTTTGCTCAGGGATGAGTCGCCTCCCTCAGTATCTGGCCCAACTCCCGAGTGTCGCCTCTCTGATCCACAGGCACATACAATGATGAGACTTCTATCTCTGTGGTATGTATTGCACCAATTCAGGGCATCCCCACAGGCAAGCTCCCAGGGTGCAGGGACAAAAATCATGTAAACTCATCTGTCCGGGCTTCAAGTGGATTCAGAATCAACCCCATCGTTATCAAAAGGCACGAAGCAGCCTCCAAACAGGAAAGATGGGAGATTCTGTCAGTTTTCCAATGAGACCAAGGAGCCTACAAGAGGCAAAGCCAAACCAGGAGTAGGCTCCCTGGAGAGCTGAGAAAAGTCACGCTGTCACATTGCAGGGCTGATAATTGGAACTCTATTAGGACAAGCATCCTTCCACCTCACTAAGCCTCTGTGTGTGTGTGTGTGTGTGTGTGTGTGCGCGTTTGGGGGAAAGGGATGGAGGGGGCATGGAGAAAAAGAGGGAGATTAAGCCAAGAAAGGGCTCGGGACATAGCACAGTGGTACAGCGCCTGCCTGGCAAGTGTGAAGTCCTGAGTTTGACTCCCAGCACAAAAAAAAAAAAAAAAAAAAAAAAAAAAAAAAAAAAAAAGTGAATTCACATTTTGATAATAATAAGACAGGAAAAATAATAGGCAAATGTGAGTACAGAAGAGAAGGGAGAATAATGAGCAAACAACTGGAAGGAATTTGGAGAAAGTAAAATGGATATAAAATTCCAAGTGTCTGCTACCTGCCATTGTCCTTCAAGTATGCCTTTATTCTGCTTGCATACATGAAATGGAAATTTCGGGCCACCCTAGATTTAGCAAGGAAATACTTCCACTGTGCATCAGGTGATCAAGGAAAGCATCGCTGCCTTTGTTCTGCTGTTGGCTTCTCCAGAGCCAGCCTGCCCTATGCCTCTCTCTTCCTACACATAAAGTGGAAGCCCTGCTATTGGCCACCGTCTGCTTCTGTAGACCCCAGTATGGCTTCCAAAGATAGTATTTGAGCTTGCTGATGAAAAACCTTTTTATTCAGTGCCAAGATTTACCATATTAGTGAGGAAAGGGGATTGTTATTACTATAGTTTAATGTTAACATTTTGTTATGTAATAAAAAGCAGAAAAAATGACTGCATTGATCAAGTTTGCTCACGTATCGCACCCACACTGAGCCTCAGTGCTACCACACAGTGGACCAGTCCCGTACCTGGGACTCACTGTGTCTGTGGTAGGACTGGGCCTGCCCATCACATGCCACCCACACCCACAGCATGGGGTGAGCGCACACAACAAAAACCCAGGCTGCGCTCCTTGCCTCTGCCAGGAGTCGTGACACTGTCCCCGACACTGCTGTGTTCCAGATCTCTCCACTCCTCAAGGGCTGCAGTTCAAGACCATCACAGAAACCACCGTGGAGGTGCAGTGGGAGCCCTTCTCCTTCTCCTTCGATGGGTGGGAGATCAGCTTCATTCCAAAGGTGAGAGCCTCCAGCTCGCTCAACAGCTCTCTTTGGAGAGCCTCAAACTCAGACCCTCAACCTGGGATGAGGGCCAATAGGGAAGACCTTACCCAGTGCCAGTCTCTCCCTCCCTCCCTTCCTTCCTCCTTCTCTGTTCTTCTTCCTCTCTCTCCCTCTCTCTTTCCTTCCTTCTCTCCCTCCCTCACTCTCCCACCTCTCTCTCTGTCTGTCTCTGTCTGTCTCTCTGGCTCTGGCTCTCTCTCTCTCTCTCTCTCTCTCTCTCTCTCTCTCTCTCT